AGGGGCATTTCTACTAGTAGCAAGGACGCTACTTGTGGCTCCTGGCATTACTGCTAGTAACAAGAAGCTCCTAGTCCTACGGCCGGGTCGGCGGACTAGAGGACATTTCAATAAAGAGAACCGCCCTCATGAAGAGCGAGGACACAGTAGACAAGTGCACTAAGGAAAGGCCTTGGTGAAAACAAGGGCGGTTTGTTCAGAGGAAGGCTTTCACCAGGACAGCTTTTGTGTAAAGAAATGCACTTTCTTGTCAAATCCGGGTGACAAATGTCGATAGAATGGGAGCTCTTTCAACAGGTCGCTTTATGAAAGAACCATTTTGAACACCGTTTTTGGTAGTGCTTTTTGTCAAAGAAGGGGCTGTGAGAAATAAACTTTTTGTGGCTCTTGGACATGGCCTTGATAAATGAGGATGTGGACATCACCAAGACCAGCCGTTGCATGATCAGTCAAGATTAAGACTACTACATACATCGAAGCACACACACAAAATTTTGGAGCCTACTTTTGTTTTTGGAGTAGTCTCTGAGTAGTCTGTTTCTTTGGCGTGCGCTGTGATGCAATGAACGGCCTGCTGAAAGTGGAGAGCCCGTAGCAACGAACCGATATTAGAGCTAAGAAAGTTTGAGCAGAAACAACAGGTTCACAAGAGGCCTTTGTGAAAAGCATTGCCAAGCCTCTTCCAACTATGAAGCGCACAAAAATCACTTGTTATACTCAAACATTTCCAGTGATTCTCACAGGTTGGTGAAGGGGTGCACAAATGCCGAAGATTGCCGAAGATTGCCAAAGTGGAGATTCCAAATCTGAACATGTCGACACATTCGAGGCAGCTGTAGCACCTGCATCGACTACCGGATCACAGCCGCCGCTCCAGCAGAACCGTGCCATAGAAGAAAGACATGTTTTCTGTTGAACATGTAGCAAGAAGCTACTAGTAACAAAGGGCATCGCTACTAGGAGCAAGAAGCTACTAGTAACAAAGGGCATCGCTACTGCCGCTACTAGGAGCAAGAAGCTACTAGTAACGAAGGGCATCGCTACTAGGAGCAAGAAGCTGCTAGGAGCAAAGGGCATCGCTACTAGGAGCAAGGACGCTACTAGTAGCTCCTGGCCATACTACTAGGAACAAGAAGCTTGTTTATGCCCTTTCTGAGTCCGAAGAGGAGGTGCTATGGTCTTCAGCGAAAGGGGCCTGGAGTCGGGGCAAAGACTTTCTCTTTCCCTTCCAATCATCACTTTGCTACTAGTAGCGTTCTTGTTGCCGGTAGTAAGGCCAGGAGCCCCTAGTAGCGTCCTTGCTCCTAGTAGCGATGCCCCTTGCTACTAGTAGCGTTCTTTAATCATGAATCGCCTCAAGCAGGTACAACTTGGAAGCACCGAAGCGGATTGCCATAGTAGCTGGGATCTCAACGATTTGCACGGAAGCCGCCAGTGTTTCTCCTGATGTGTTCCTTGGGAACACAACCCAAACCTTCTCAATGCTTTGAACAGGAAGAAGTCTAGAGGCTTCAAGCCTGGTGGTTTGATTCCTCCCTATGGTGTCATAGCCCGGAAGTCAGTAGTAGGGGGAAGGCGAGGATGAGGAGGGAAGACGGGAGTCATTGGAAGAAACCATAGTCAGAGGCGCAGGACGTGGACTCTGAAACTCCTTGATCCATGCGAAATGGTATTGCAAGACAGATGCGGAGGAGACAGTTGGACTTACAATTTCTATCAACATCCAACTTGCATGTTCCAGGTCGCCCCCAGGTCTTGGATGTAAACATAACATGGTTTCAAAGGCCACCTCAAAGTTGTGGAGGTCAAACTTGCACTGCCAAAACTGTGATCGTGTAACATGAGGCATGCAGGCTCTCTCTGCCGCCTCAATAGGTTGAATTCGGTGTATGGCCGTGTTCGGCTTTCGCAACTTGTGGTTTTCATTGGAAGGACGTCTCACTGTTCTCGAAGTATTGGAAGCTTTAAACTCCCAGGCCAGGCTGTGTGAAAGTTCCTACTGCCCACAACTGAATAGGGAAAGTAATGATGTGGACATACAGGTGTAACAAGGCCCACTTGGACGAAGATCAGTCAGGACAGACTTTAAGTAGAACACATTATAAGGGCATGCCAGGCTATACTGAGGTTCGAACACCACTGGTGGAATGCAGTCCATGAATAGATTTGCCAGAAGAAGGACAGATGACAGGTGGCTCCATTCATTTGCAAAAGTGTCACGTGTGCACAAATCACGTTGTGTACCTGCAGACCCTTGTAGGGTTCGCAAAACTATTCGCATGAAGTGGTGGGGGAAAGTATTGCCGTCCATTCGCTAAGGTGAGTAACATGGGGGTCAGTTCTTGTACTGAATCCTTTGGCAGTGTGGGTGGTTTGGTTTCACCTCCTTTTGGGCTCGATCAGGTGCCTTTTCGAGATCGAGGGGCCCATTTGGAAAAGTTCCGTGAGCGGATCCAGTCGCCCGGTGTCCCAGAACAAAGGCCATCCTCAGGGCCTTGGGCCGCCACGCCTCCCCTTTTGGGGTTAGCGTTGACAGATGGTGACATGGAGTGAGCTGGGCTTGCGAGGATGTTTTGCTGTCATAGGTATACGATATGATCAGGTTGCTGGTGCAGCTGTGGCTTTAATTTGAGCAGTTTTTGAGGCACATCTCTGCTTGGATCAAGTCCAACTCCCAGCCACCGGCCGTCTGAACAAGAAATGCATCGGCTTTTCAATCGTCATCGATTTGCCAAGGAAAGGCATAAATCATAGTTGGAAAGTCTTCGTGGTGGAGCAGTTTGATGAACAACTCTTCAATCGCCGAAATCTGAAGACCTCGAGGGACATTGACGCGAATGAGCGCGTACAAGCGCTTTGTGAGGTGGCTACCTTTTCAACGTTGGCTTTCAGTTTGCAAGCTCGGAGGAGAACACGTTGGGCAAGTTCGATTGCGTTCCTCGACCGCAAATTGGAGCTTCGAACATGTGCTCCTAGTAGCTTCTTGCTCCTAGTGGCGATGCCAGGAGCCCCTAGTAGCGTCCTTGCTCCTAGTAGTAATGCCAGGAGCCCCTAGTAGCTTCTTGCTAGGGTGTGGACGGTAAAGGGCACAAGTGAAACACTTCGCTTGTTCAGTTGGTGTTGCGCACGGGCAGCATTCAGTCCCGTGGATCTGTGGATTAACAACGATGCAACTTGATGCAACCCATTTCTGCGGTAGCTACGGCTACGTCCAAAAGAGTCCCATGGGAAGCCCTTTCATGTCCTCGCCAAGGTGGTTATGCACGACATTGACATTTTGCCGTTTCCTTGACCAACGCTCACACTTTTGCATGTGAAACCGAAGAAAGGAAGTTCACAAGCCTGAATGTTCAGGCCGACACCAGTGGTGGACTATGGATGGTGCATTTATCCAAATCAGCTCTCCGGGGAGATTGAGCCTTTGACCCAGCGATGTTTGCAGACCCGATGGGGGGAAGCGTTCGGAGTTTGAGGTGTTGGGGCTGGGGTGTGCCGTATCCAGACAATGTGCCGGTCTCGGAACAGCAGGTGATGTTTACAAAACTATTTTCAGTGCTTGCTGTGTGAGGTGGGGGGAGTCGTCTCTATGAGTGGCGTCCCTAGATGGGTACCATATGGTACCATACGAGCCGCATGAACTCAGCTTCTTGCTGCTTGCTACTAGTAGCGTCCTTGCTACTAGTACCGATGGCCTCCACCCTAATAGCGATGGCCTCCAGCGAGTTTTTCATTTTCGTTTTTTGTTCCGTCGCTGGTCCTTTTCCTCAGCCACGCTCTGAGAGGTCCAACACACTGGCGGGGCATCAACGGCTTTTCTAACGAGTACGACGGCTGGGGTGGTGAGGACCGGTGACTGGAGAGACCTCAGCAAGCCAATCGAGAGAAGAAAGACAATTAGAGAACAAGAGGCACAAGCAATCCAAGCAAGAAGGAGGACAATTGAAATGCCATTGGTGTGACACGTGGGTGGGCAATGATTATTCCTACGGTTGCCCTAATTATATACAGTGTTTGTTTGACCTTTTCCAACTCCAATTGGTGAACTTTTCCTGTTGATTTTTCGCATATTTTGCCAATGGAATGGTCACCTGGTGAACCAGGATGATGACCTCTACCTCCGTTTGAAGTGCAGATTCTCAGAGACGATTTGCAGAAGCATGAAGCTTGAGTTGCTCAGTGTGGTGTACATAGCGTGCTCGCTGACTGGTGTGCTCGTACTGACTTGTGGGATTCAAGTTGATTCAGGCAGAACAGCCTGCTGAAGGGTGGATGCCACACCTGGTGCAAGGCGGAGCGGCGAAGCGAAAGATGTGAGGTCTTTGCTGGTGCTTGCTGGTCAGGACCGCAACAAGCCGACCGTTCCGATGGTGCGACGACCGCCAGACTCTTGAATTTTCGAGAAGCATCATGAGTTCCATGTGTTTCCAATGCAGATTTAGTTGTGGTTCTTCTAGGGTGAGGCTTGCATATATTCTTGCTAAGGAATTCTCAAGAAAGATTTGAGGTTGAGTGTGGGAGGTGCTAATGCTTTCCTTCGGGAGAGCTAAGCAACAACAGGATTAAATTCTTCTACAGTTGCTGCGTTGCCTTGTTCGTGGCCTCGCCCCTATTGCCCCAAGATCAGGCAGACAGGGATAGGTCCAGCAACCTCAAATATTTGGAATAGCCCTCACCATACTGCCACTGAGCCTCACTTGCTCAGCTTTCGACAGCGATGTGCGCTGAACTTCAAGCAAGGGGACGACTGATGAAAGTTAATTGACATGGACGGGTGCTACTCCTGCGCTTGACAAGGTCAAACATAGTTTCTGTCTCTTTCTTGGGGGGGCTAATGTGGTTTCTTGAGTCAGGAAGGTCCGAAACTATGAAATGTCAGATGATGAATCAGCAAAGCGCCAGACTCTTTTCTTCAGCCATGCGACCTACAACATGACCCTTTGTTGATGAGAAATCCATGATGGTGTTACGCATGCGGTGCTAGCGCTCGCCATGTCGTTCGAATGGTCCATACGGGAAAGCAGGCAGAGGGTTTAGTTTGTTTACCTTGTGCGCTCAGGAGAGTCTCTCAGAAGGGACCTGACTTTGTTGCCAGGTAAAGGCACTGAAGGTCTCAAGAGCAGGTGACCTGCTGCAGGTCGCCCGCCATGCTGGCCTCTTGGTCCTGCTGTTTCTCGCGCCTGGGGTGGCAGCGGTCACATTGGACGGTGATTTGGTCGCAGTCATCTGTCAAATTCTCAGGCGACTAGAAGGTACTTTGCAGCTTTCGCCTGCAGTTGTATTTCTAGGTTTTCAAAAATCTTGTACCCAGCTGGTTGAGTGTGAGACAAAGACACTTTGGATGCGACAGCCTCCTTCTAAACCTCTCTCTCTCTCTCGCTCTCTGAAGATGTGTGCCGTGCTTGACAATTTGGATCGATAGCTCAATGGGGTTTCGATTTCAGGACTCCTATATACAGTTAGTTAGTCTTTTTTCGTTTGTCATGTGCCATGTGCAAACGAAGGAACGCTGGCTTTTGTCCTCTTGGCCACCAGCAGCTTGACCGAAGATTTCGGGCTTTGCGTGACCAGAGATGGTGAGACAAGGGATTTTTGTGAAGGAAAGCTGACCTCCAATGTGTTTGCATGAATGTTCTTGCGCTTCCAGTTTGCAATGGCGGTTGTTGCGGCCTTGAAGTGCTGGGAATGCCTCAAAGCCACGATTGCATATCGAGGCTTCATCGCCACGGCCTGCGAGATATGCCGCCAGAGGACCGTGTGCCGGACAGCCACGTCGTAACGCACGGCGGTACACAGGATGCATCACAAGCAGAAGAAGCGCTCCAATTTTCGCTCCGGGTAGGAAGTGTTGCCTCCAACGTCTTCCATTTCCAATCTTCCTTATGCTGGTCTACGTTGCGTGGCTGTGTGAAGTTGTTTGCATTTAGATTTGGACAAGCTGTGCCAGGTGTCACGAGACATTGCCATTTCCCATTTGAGGCCTTGCAGATCTTGAGCTGCTTGCTGGAGTTTCATAGCAGACTCAATCACCCCAATGTGCCTCTTCCAGATGTGGGGGGGCTCAGGGTGGCCACCCACCAACTCGTATGACCAAAGCGGAAACAATTGAAAGCTATGATGTGTACAAGTGAGATTGGCCAAGAAAGGCAACGTTTTATGAACTTGTTTAATTGTTTCTTAACTCGTTGTGGTTACAGTTACTGGTTTGTCGTGAGCTTGCTTTGGACCGTCTGAGGCTTCGATGTCAATAGCCACTTGGCGGACTTGGCTAGGGCTTAGCCATGCTTAGCCACGGACAATGGCTCTTGTATGCAAACTGCAGCAAAAACAATCCTCAAGCACCAACGCACAACTAGATGTTTGTACGTAAGTGGGGCCATTGACGTTTGATATTTTTCATGGCTGCAGGACCAAGACGCAACCTCCCTTTTTGTTTCCCTCTTCCTTTTGGAAGCAAGGTCATGGCTGCCCACAACGAGCACAAGTGCCTTGGCCACCAAGTAGCCAAGCCGAAGGATTGGCCAATCAAGCCAACTCTTAAGAGCATGGCGATTTGGAGATCAACACGGCGATTCGTCTCCATCTTTCCAATTTCGAGCGATCGAGCTCGTGGCGGGGAAGCACCAGAGTGAAAGAAAACGAAAGCAACGCACAACCGACTTCCATGCGGAGACTAAGCACTTCTTCCATGGCCCACCTTCGAAAAGAACGTTCAAGTTTTCATCAGGGCTTTGCCCATGTTTGCCCATACTTGCCAACTGCACGTGAGCTTCCGCTCTCTGGATTTCACTCACATTCCAACAGCTGAGGTTCCTGCAGCGGACGTTTGAGACTTGGGACCGTTGGTCAGTGCTTTCCCTTTGGTTTTGTTTGTTTCACGTCTTGTGAAAGCGGCACGACGTTTGTATGAATCAGCAGAAACTTAGGGTTGAACATGGTGCCATGATTTGCCATGCAAGACGCACTTCCTTTTCTTTTTTTGTTTCCAATAGCAATGGCCTCCAACCTAGGCCCTAGTAGCGATGGCTTCCATCCTAGAAACTTGGCAAATCAATTGCTTCTCTCTGAGGTTGGACTCAATTGTGCAAAGCACACCGAAGGAAGTTCTTGTGGAGATCATCCTGGTGCGACTCTATGAGATGATACGATCGACTCGGTAGACTCTGCTACAAGTAGCCTCCTTGCTCCTAGTAGTAAGGCCAGGAACCCCTAGTAGCATCCTTGCTTCTAGTAGCGATGCCGGCGATGCCCTTTGCTACTAGTAGCATTCTTGTTCCTAGTAGTATGGCCAGGAACTACTAGTCGCTTCTCGCTCCTAGTAGCGATGCCGTTTGTTCCTAGGAGCTTCTTGCTCCTAGTCGCATCTTTTAAACTCTGCTTTGAAGCTTGAGCTTTAGGTGGATGATGGCAGCGAACCTCCACTCTCCCCCCTTGTGGAAGGCTACACTTTGGTGAAAGTGTCTCAGGCCCCAGTGTTTGTGATAAACATGGGCGCTGTTTGGCGGAGATGACAGCAGTTTGCGAGCTGCCGAGGTTGAGACATGAGCTTCGGAGGGGTCTCATCAAATCTAAAACAGAAGGTGGTAACTTGGCAGTTGGCGATGCTTGGATGGAGAACAGATGCAGGAACTTGACAGATTTACTGTGCAAGTTGTGGGGGTCTGGTGTTAAATATCTTTGTTTCATTGGACAATTCATGATTTCCACACAAGCTATCCAGCAAGCTGAGGAAGTCCTCATGTTCTTGGATGCGCATGTCCGCCCTGCTCCAGGTCACAAACAGTGCATATCCTCCAACCTAATAGCAAACTATATTAACCTGACCTTTCTTTTCTTTTCTCTTTGTTTCTACTAGCAATGGCCTCCAACCTAATAGTGATGGCCTCCAACCTAGAAGGCTATCTCTCGCTCTGTGACTTGTGTTTGCCCATTTGGGCTTTGTCTGCCAGATTGGTATCGCCCCCTCTTGAAGCATATCAAACTCAACTACAAGCGCGCCTAGCCACTGATGGGCTCGGCCGAGGTGTACGATAACAGTGCGAAGGGGTTCCAGCAAGTTGGAGCCCCTAGTAGCGTCCTTGCTCCTGGTAACGATGCCCTTTGCTACTAGTAGCATTCTTGTTCCTAGTAGTATGGCCAGGAGCTACTAGTAGCTTCTTGCTCCTGGTAACGATGCCCTTGGCTACTAGTAGCATTCTTGTTCTTGCAACTGGTAACGATGCCCTTTGCTACTAGTAGCTTTCTTGTTCCTAGTAGTATGACCAGGAGCTACTAGTAGCTTCTTGCTCCTGGTAACGATGCCCTTTGC